ATTCAAAGCAAAGTTGTGCATAAATCCAGAAAGCTCAGAGGAAAGAGTACCGTTGATCGATTACACCAATCGGTTGTCAAGATTAATAAATATCATCGCTTTCATGCTTCGTTTCATGAACAAGTGGAAAGAGAACCCGACCTTCAAAATCCGAGCGCAACGCATTACAAGACCGATAAATCCTCCAAGTACAGAAGAAAAAGCTATGGCTATGGCCTATTTGTTACGGAAAGAACAAGAGACGTACTACCATGCGGAGATAACCGCACTAAAAAATGGAAAGAATTTACCAGACAAATCCAGTTTATCGAGTCTCAAACCAGTTTTAGATAGTACAGGAATTTTGAGAGTAGGTGGACGTTTGGACAGGAGTGATGCACCATACGAGATGCGCCATCCGCCCATTATACCAAACGGCTCGAGATTGGCTTGGCTAATCATAAACTATACACATTGTATCACCATACACGGTGGAGTACAGGTTATGATGCAATATATTCGTCAGCGGTACTGGATTCCGAAACTACGCAGCGAATTAAGAAGTTTCATACACAAATGTGTCACCTGTGCACGTTATAGTCAGAAGTTAGAAGGTCAGTTAATGTCAGAGCTACCAGCAGATAGAGTACAGGTAGGAAAGCCATTCCTTAACACAGGTGTCGATTACGCAGGTCCGTTTGAATTAAAAATGATTGATAAGGAAGGCAAAGATGTTATTAAAAGGAAGTGCTGGATAGCAGTGTTTGTTTGTTTAAAAACACGCGCAATTCATTTGGACATCATCACTGACCTGACTACAATAGCATTCATCGCATGCTATGAACGATTCATAGGTAGACGAGGCAGGTGTCTGAGGATGTACAGCGACAACGGAACATATTTTGTTGGTGCGGAAAAAGAGTTAAAGAAAGCCATAGAGAAATGGACAGGTAAACCGGCAATGGACCACCTATGTCAGAAGGGTACAGAATGGCACTTCATGGTTCCTGCAGCTCCACATCAAGGAGGAATCTACGAAGCCGCTGTAAAATCAATGAAATACCATCTGAAAAGGGTTGTAGGTATCAAATCATTGCCTTTCGAACAGTTCAGTACATTATTAACCCAGATTGAGGCGGTTTTGAACTCTCGTCCGATTCATCCGTTGAGTGATGATCCTTCAGATGTACAGGCACTCACACCAGGACATTTCTTAGTGGGCGAACCGTTGATTTGTCCGTTACCTTTTGCTACACCTACTCAACCAAATAGTATAGGAGCCAAGTTATGGAGAGAGCGTCAAACAATGTTCAAGCACTTCTGGGACAGATGGCATACCGAGTACTTAACCACGTTACAGGAAAGGAAGAAATGGCGTAGAGAAAAGGAACCATTACGGGTAGGCCAGTTAGTTCTGCTGAAGGCTGAAAATTTTCCTCCATCACATTGGGCTCTCGGTCGTATATGTCAGTTGATAAAGAGCAAAGACGGCCTTGTACGCTCAGTCATAGTACAAACAGCTACATCTCGCCTGATGCGACCAGTACAGAAGATTTGCATCGTTCCTGTAGAGGCAGACAGACTTACCTAGATAACATAAACGACAGGTGATTCATAGGGAGTACACTTCGCTCCAAGCGAATTATTTAGTATAGACGCCCATGCCATCAAGGGGGATTCAGATGTAAATCATATCGAGTTTATTGTTAGAGAATTCATTAAGTTAGTCGTTTAAGAATAAAAATATTTGTTATATTTTTGCTGGCACTGTATCGGATGGCAACACTTGCTGCCATTCGATATGTCAAGTCAGTCGCTTTCAAACATTCAATAAAGAGAGTCGGGTTTTTTACTTCCTACTTTTCCCGACTATAAATAACAAAAAATTAATTGTGTTTTATTTAGCGTCTATCCGAACATTTGGTTCTTCGAATCGGAGTTGATAAATAATGACCTGTGGCTACATGGACCGGTATGGCTGAGTCGACAACGTACAGAATGGCCAACGTTTAATCCATTAATTAGAGAGCCACCAGAGGTACATGATGAATTAAAGGTATTTTTGGCCACATTATTCAAAGCAAAGTTGTGCATAAATCCAGAAAGCTCAGAGGAAAGAG